TAACTTTAATTATTAATATATTACTTTATTTGTAGAATAGTAATTATGACTTTATTTTTTTGTACCTATAGAATTATGTTATCACGTAGACATTTTTATGAAAAATTATGAAGGAGTGTCATTAATGTTACAAATAATTTTTTTCATAGTATATCACATTTTTTTGTAAGCTTATGAATTTAATATTTAAAATTTTAAGAAAAAAAATATATTGTATTTTTTAGTTACAACAATTATTCGTTGTTATTGTTTCTATAGTCACGAATCCATGTTGTCTATTGTTATTACAGTAGGTAATAATGACCACAACTCATCCACTATTAATACTATATTAATGTTATATTTGTGGAAGTATATTTACTGGATGAGTAAAAAATTTAGTCTACGTTATATCAATAGATGTTTTTTAAAATATTTTTTTTTTAAATTATCATTCATTCACATCATTTTTAATATTAAGCCGCGCAACGCGCGGGGTAACGTAGTAGTTGTAGTTACACCATGAACGTCAACACAGCCATTGGAGATCCAGTCTTGGTTTCTTCGCAAGGTATATTTGCTTTTTCTCTTGCTTTTACTTCTGGTTGGGTCCTTTTTGTTAGTCTAGATTGTCTTGTTGGTGTTTTGTCGATCCTCTTTCTTGTTTTTTTTCTTTTTGTGTTTCATATGTTTTATTACTTTGTTCTTGCCTCATTTTTGTTGGTTGTTTACCTTTCGGTTTTCTCTTTTCACCCATTGGTTCTCTCTTTTCCTTAAGGATTTATTAATCATCTAGTTTGGCCATCTCCTTTTTTGGTGTTCATCGTTGTGTCTAGAGCGGAGAATGGTTATGGAGAAGGAAATTACAGAAAAACTCCAGAAGTTTGTGCTTTCGGAGAAGGAAGAAGAAGGATTTGAGCTTTGGGAGGAAGACATTGTGCCAGGGTTGAAAGAATGTCAGCTCAATCTAATTGGTAAAATTTACGGTAAGAACAAAGCCAATTTCCTCGGTCTCAAAGCCACCCTGGGAGGAATTTGGTCAACAAGATTACCTTCTCAATAAGAAACCTAGAATCAAATGCCTTCCAATTTTTCTTTCAGTTTGAGGAAGAGAAAGACAAGATCCTTAATGGAAAAACATGGAATTTTGATGAGCATTACATCATCCTCAAGAGTTGAAACTCAGACGGTATTGAGTTTTCAATGGAGAAGGAAAGCATCAAAATTGGGTCCAGATCACAATCTTCTCTTTCACCGGATAGCTGCAGATATGAGGACGAAAATTGGAAGAATTTTGGGTAAAAATTCTTATGTTCCAGTGCCTGAGGCTGGGAGGACAAATGGACAACTGGTGAAAATTTTGGTGGAGCTAAAACTCAAGGATCCAACCATTAGAGGCACTAATATCAAACTTGGTTTAGAATCAAAATGGGTGGACTTCAAGTATGAAAATCTCCAAAACTTTTGTTTTTACCATGGGAGAATTGGTCATGGTGATAGAAATCGCCAAACTATAAAGGATGATGTGAATGGAAATGTGTTTAACTTAGGTTCATTTGGGGAATGGTTGAGGATAAATAACATTAGTCCTATTGATTCCAGAAGCCATAGTCTGCCTCCTGTGTGTAGTCAATTAAAAGATAAGGCTCTAATAAAAATTCTAGTCAGAACCTCAAGAAAAGTATGACAGGAGAGAAAGATAATAATTGTGAAGGATTGGATCATGAAGGAGGAGGAGAGAAGGAAAAATAGATTAAAGAAGGGAAGTCTAGTGAAGTTCATTCTAAGGTAGTTGAGGCCTTTCAGGTTATTGAGGGTAGTCACACTAGGGGGAAATTCAGGGAGAGTCCTTGCAGAATGCCTCTCAGCTTGTAGAAAATGATTTACATTCTTCCTCTATATGGGATAGAATAGTGCAAATAAAGAAGAAAACTTATGTCAGAAAACCTAGATCTAGGAAAGAGGATAAAACTGAAAACGTGTGGTAGATAATGTTATCATAACCCCTTATGATTTATTTCAACAAAGAGTTCAATAAAAGATGTTTTGTACATGTTGAAAGGCCTGAAAAGGTCCACCTGAATTGAGTAGGGAATCTAAAAAACTGAAAGTTTTTGAAAAAAATAAATCTTTCTGCGGTGGAGGAAACCAACCCAAAATGGTCCCAAAGTTTCAATCAAGGTATGTATGTGGAATTGTAGAGGTTTGGAAAAACCATCTACAATTTTTAATTCAAAGAGGCACTTAGGGCCCACCTTCCAGACTTTCCTATCCTTTCTAAAACTAAGAAAAGAAAAACCATTACTTCAGTGTGTAAAAAGCTCAAATTAGATGATAAGTGGGTCTATGTTCATCCAGTATGAACCAAAAGGGAAATGCTTTTGTGGTGGTCTAGCAGAGTGGTGATCTTGGAGTTGAACTGCTTTGAGTTTTTTTATAGAGGTCAAGTTTACATTGAGTGATGGTGAGAAGAGTCAGTGTTTATCTATGCTAGTATTGATTCTATTGAAAAGTGGTATCAATGGAGGTTTCTAATGAGGCATAGCTTAAGATAGGGTAATTTGTGGTTTATTGGGGGAAGGGGAGGAGGAGGAGGGTTAATGATCTGCTTAATAATCAAGAGAAAAAAGGGGGTAGACTGAGGTATGAGGGTAGCTTTGATAGTTTCAGGACTTTTGTGAGGGACATGGGAATGGTTGAAACCAAGACAATAGGACATCCCTTTACTTGGGCTAACAATAAACATGGGTCTGATTTTGTTGACGAAAAATTGGACAAATTTTTCCTTTCCCCGGATTGGACTCTTCTTAAACCTATTTTCCATGTTATGCACATTTCTCTAGCTTCCTTTGACCATAGTATGATTATTTTGGAGAAAGATTATACTATTGAATCTAATAAAAAGAGATTTTCCTTTTACTCTAGATGGGTTAACTTGGAGGGGTTTGCTGTTGTGGTTGGAAAAGCATGGAATCTTCACATGGAAGGACCTGAGTTGCACATTTTGCCGGGTAGGATAAAAAATGTTAGACTTTCTTTGGTAGGTTGGAAGGCTAGTAATATGACTTATTATGCAGCTCATATCACATCTTGTAAGAAAAAGTTGAGTCTTCTACACATCAAAGGGGTAATGAAGATTGGACAAAATGGAAAAATTGTAGGGAGAGTCTCCATTTATCTTACAAGGAAGAAGAGTTGTTTCGAATATTCTATCTAGGGTTCTCTTGCAAAAATAAGGGGATAAAAACACTAAATACTTTCAGGCTAGTGTTAAGCAAACAAGAAAGGTAAGCAACCTCCAAAATTTGTTATGGTCTACTGATAGGAAGTGCATTANACCCTATATGGGCTGAATAAACACAAGTCTACCGGACCAAACAATAAACAAAACAAAAACAGAAAACAAGAGAAGGAAAAAAAAACAACAAAGCGGAAATCTGAGCCTGGGCTGACAGGTGCCCAGGAAAGCAGTCTGCACCATGAGTGGGCTAAAGCACAAAAAGTACAGAACGACTACCCAAATCGGAATGATGCGTAGCTAATCTGATCCATTTGCACCAAAGTACGGAGGCGGAGAGAAGCGTCGTCCGGGTGAAAATGCGCCTATGGGGAGTGAAGGCACCGATGGAAGCGAGGAAGTCAGTGGGTCAGTTCCCCTCGTGGAAAATGTGCGAGACCTGGTATCGAACCAACCTACGTATGTATCTGATGCGCATGAGTGGGTGCTGAGTCTACCACGTGCCCTGATGGCCCGACATCAAGAGGGTGTCAACAGTGGCAGCATCCAGCTTAATCCAAATGTGAGAAAAGATAAAGACTGCAATTTGAAGACTGATCTGAAGCGCCTGAATCTCCGCATCAAAACTCGAGGAGGCCTGAAAAGGGGCGTGGAAGAAGGTAATGAGGGCTCCGCTGTGATCCCTGATCAGGCCTCCGCCTCTGGCAGCTCTGGAGTGTCGGTCGAAAGATCCTTCAGTGTTCAGCTTAACCCCATGGGGGGTCGGGTCTCAGCCAAACAATGGATCTAAGTCATGGGTGCTGGACAGGTGGCAATAGAGAAGGCATGAAGCGATGAGATGGCGTGCAGAAAAAACTCAGGAGAACAGAAAAAATGTCTGTAGTGGGAAGGGGTATATGAGTATAGGTGGCAAAATTCTCCCACACTCTTCTCGCAACCTCACTCTCTAAAAACGAATGGGAAAAAGTCTCAGTTTAGAAATCACCGGTCTCGGTACAACAATAACACCACGACAGAAATAAAACCCCCCTCGCCTGCAACACTGAGTCAATCGCAATCCGGTGTAGAAAAAGGCGCCAAAGGAAGACAGGGATGGTCTGGGTAAGTAGGTCGGTCTAAATGGCCCCGAATAGAAGGTTAGGCCAATCACCCTGCCGAACTTCTCCCAAAGCTGAGGACGTAGAGAAAGCACTCGAAAATGTAAGAACTCGATGAAAATCGTAGGTTGAAGTTTTCAAAGTTGCCCACAGCCATAAAATCTAGAAATTTGCAGCAATAAATAGCTCATGTTGATGATCCAACGATGCCGATGGATTCTTCATGTAAATAACTTTTAGATAGTATTTTTATGAAATCCAGCAGAGGAATTTCATGACAAACTTCAAGGCACATTTTTTTAATCTAAAATAACATACAACAACCGGGAAAAATTCAAAACTAGTCCCACAGGTATAGGGGGTGACATTTTTTGTCCCAACGGAATGCAGAAAATATGAATAGTCCCACATGTTTTAAAAAACGATCAAAAGTAGGACTTTCTTCCCTTTTTCAGCCCTGAAATCCACGTCGCACCTATGTGGATTTTTTTTCCACGCTGGCCACATACATTTGACGTGGCTGAGTACACCCACACGCCTGCCAATAAGATGGGCAAAATCAGAAACGGACCATTTGAAAAATTAATTTCCCAAAATCAGAACCCTAATCCCCAAATCGCCCCAAAATCGCTCCAAAATCGCCCCAAAATCGCCACGAAATATTTTTTTATCGAAAGCACACTTGAGGAAAAGCTGAACGCAGAAACGGGCATACTCATATTTCTTCTCCCAATTTCCCAAAATTGTCAAATCTGAACCCTAGTTGAAATATGTCTTTTGTCACCAGAGATGGGACATGTCATTGTGGTCGGAGGACGGTGATTCGGACAACGTGGAAGGACGCCAACCCTGGGCGGCGATTCCAGTCATGCTTGAATTACGAGGTAAGGTGTTAAATAGAATTGCATATTTAATGAAGTCTTTTATTCATATGTGAAGAATTAATCATTTTTCTTGATTTTTAAATTTTACTCTCACAACATGGAGGCTGTGATTTCTTTGACTGGTACGATCCTCCAATGTGCCGTAGGTCTAAAATTATAATTCCTGGCCTCTTGAGGAAGATGAATGAAAGAGAAGTTGAGATTAAGAAGCTGAAATTAAAAAATGAACATTTGGTGAAGTTGGATAAAAAGTTGAAGAAGATAGTCTGCATTTTGGTTCTTTTACTGGTGTTTACCATATTGTCCAAGTTCAAAGTTGGTAAGGAGAACCCAAGTGGAATGAACCAAGTGAAGATGCTTTAGTGACTGTCCTTTTGAATGGTAGGATGCTTCAGTGACTGTCCTTTTGCTATAGTGAAGATGTTGGTGTTTGCATTTTGAATGGTAGGATGGTGAAGACCTTTTGCTTGTGTTTGTATTTTGTGAGATGGTTAAGATGTCAGGATCCTATTTATGTTATGTTAAGACCTTTTTTCAATGTAAGATGTTGTATTTGGAATTACAAAAGCTGTATTTTGGTTTATTTTTGTATGTTGTGATTCAGTGGATTTTAGAATGTTTATTTGAATGAGAGAATGTTAAAGCTTTATTTTGATTGTTAAGTTGTTATGCTTAACATTTTGAATGAGAAAATCTTTAAACCAAAACAAAAGTAGATAACCAATACAAAAACACATAACCAATACACGAATCATTATGAGAACTTCATAAAGGACACAAAAACCTGTTTGTCATTGTTCTTGCCATTGTATTCAAATATAATCCCAAGAACATCTACACCAAAAGCTGTTTGTCTACATGAGAACCAAAACAAATCCAAATCAAGTTTCAAAACATCTACACCAATTGTTGATGAACCAAAACATGTCAAAGCAAGTTTCATAATAAAAGATTTACACAGAACTTAACCTAACACACAAATTTTCATTTTTTCACTTCTTTTCCCCTTTCCTTTCTTCATTTGCACTCCTGTTTGGCTTTCCAAACAGAGGTTCATAAACTTTTTCCCACCTTCCACCACAATTGACTTGGAGCTGTTGGGATTGATACTGAATAATGGTCTGCTATAGTCTCCTGTGATTGGTGGGGGTGCTCTGATATTGATCCTAGTCTGCAGAGGGTTAGTCACAGGTGGCTAGTTTGAGGACATTTTCAGCTGCTCAAATGGAGAAGGACCTGGCTTGTGAGGCTGCACATACTGATATATGTTGCTGTCAACCTGCCTTTCAATTGTTGTCATCAAATCCTGATCTGAAATCACACTATCCATCAGATCCTCTTGGGTGGGTGGTAAATCGGTGAATTTGCATTTTTCTTCTGTTGTTGTGCATTAGATGAATTCTCCACACCTCTTTTTCTTTGTTTGGTAACCTGAAAATTATAAATAATTATAAGAATGTTGTAAACGAGGAAACAAAATACAGGTGTAAGAATTATACTTGTGGCTGAGGCTGCTCATGTTGATAGAATTCCATCTCAGTATAGTTATCAATTGCTACCTTCAACTCCTCATCTGAGATCACATTATTCATCAAATCATCTGCTCTGGATGGTCAAATATTGACATTTGCATGAACCGCATGTTGTTGTTGTGGTGCATCACAAGATTTTCCAACTCCATCTGTGTTTTTCTTAGTAACCTAGCCAATATACATATTCATAACAATGTTGATACAAGGAGCAATTAATTGAAATGATATTTCTTGTAGGAAAAGATGTAATTTTACCTTTAACTTCTCCCTCCTGATAGGGATATTGGCATTTGCATTTGCTTTCTGTTGTTGTGGTGCATCACTAGAATTCCCTAGTCCTTCTGTGTTTTGTGCAGTAACCTAGACAATATACATATTTATAAGAAGTTTCTTGGAATGAGCAATCAATTCAAATACATGATTTTGTAAGAAAAATAATGAAAGGACAATATATATTTTACTTTGCATCTGAGAGCATTGTGACATGTTTCATGACATTTAGAACACCTTATAGTTGTTTGTTGTTTCTTAAGCTTGTATGGACAAGTTGACCTCTTTCTTTTACCCCTCAGTTCATCATGTTCTCTTCTTCTTAAAGAAGTGGGTCTGCCTCTGCCTCTTTTCTTACCATGAAGAAGGGAGGGAGGGAGGATCATATGAAGTCTGCCCCCATACAGATTCACTACTCATTGGCATGATTGCACATTCATATGCCATTCTGTAGGAGTTTACTGAGTAAAAATGGCTCACAAAGTCAACTGGGTCTTATTTTTGGTTGATAATGGCTCTAAGAGCATGTGTGCAAGGTATTACCACTCAACTCCCAAGCCCTACAAGTACATGTTCTTTTGTCAAGGGCCACAACATACTGTTCTCCACCAGAGCAAGAAATTTAATAATTGTTATCATCTGCTTTAATTGGACTGCACACACCCATCTTCTCTATATGTTTGTCCAAGATCTTTTGTATCTTAGGACACAATTTTCCATGCCATTTTGCAGTTACTATGTCCCTATTATGCTGGAGTCTTACCATCAGATACTCTCTAATCCATTCTAGCATAGTGATGATGGGCTTGTCTCTTGCCTCAAGGATATTTGAATTAAAAGCCTCACAAACATTGTTAAGCACCATATCATATTTTGGGACACCTGAGAAGTGTGATTTTGACCACTCACTTGGTGCTTTATCATGAAACCATGACCATGCTTCTTCACTGAGATTTTTCAAATCCATCATCCTCCTCTTAAATTCCCCAACTGTAGTAGCTTGTGCAGCACCCCACAATGCTAGCTTAAAACTTAAGCCCTTGAAACCTGCATTCTTGAAGTTGCAGTGAAGGTGTCTAACACAGAACCTATGAGGACTATTTGGAAAAACCTCTTTGAAAGCCTGTATTAAACCCTTTTGTTTGTCACTCATGAAGGTTATTTGTTCATCAACATAAATCTCAGGTCATGGTTAAAAACCATGACCAAGTCTCTCTTGTTTCTCCACTGACAATAGCATAAGCTATGGGGAATAAATTGTTGTTGGGATCAACACCCACTGCAGTCAGCAAGATACCTAAATTATGTCCCTTTAAGTGACAACTATCTACACCAATTATAGGCCCACATCCTATTTTGAATCCCCTTTTCAAAGCATTAAAACAACAGTAGAACTTACTGAATCTGGTTTCACCATTTGAAGTGGTAGTGTCAAGGATGACAGTGCTTCCAGGATTGGTCTTCCTCAGCAGAATAGTCCCACAACTTAAAGAATTGCACAAAAGGATCACCTTGTATCACTTTCAAAGCTCTCCTCTTGGCCCTGTATGCTTGTTTCTTGGACACATCAACCCCAAGCTTTTTAATCACTTCTGCCCTCCACCCTTTGGTAGTCCTCGATCAGTCTCAAAACTTTCAAGATACTTTCACTCAACCATTTACTTTTTAAGTTCTTCACAATGAACTCTGGCTGACAAGTGTGATCAGGAAAGTAAGTAGAAATTATGAAAGTTTCTTCATTTGGTTTCTTAAGAGCATTGATTCTCCATTTGCAGCTCTCAGCCTTGCACTCAACATATACCCTTCTATTGTCATTCTTTGTAAACTTCAAGTTTCTTTTTGTGCTAATAGCATGAGATTGAATTGCCTTCTTAAATTCTGTCTTACTAGCAAAAACCATGCCTAATTCAAATGTTGGATTGAAAATACGTGCATGGTTGAAAACAGGCTCACTTGGCTCACAATCTTCATCAGAAACCCTAGACTTATCTAGTTGAGGGCTATGAATAACCACATCATTTTCCTCATCATCATTATCTGAACCATTGACATCATTGTCTATATCATCAACATGTTCTCCCCACAAATCATCATCATCTTCACTACCATTTTCAGGACTCATGTTGTAGTCAGAATCATTTAATTCATCATAATCAGAATTATTTTCATCCACAAACACCCTCGTCCTACTTATACCCATGGATTCTTCAATTGGTACCCAGATGGGGCCCAATGTCTTCTTATTTGGATCATTTGGAACAGAATCAGAAGCAGATTTAGGGTCATTAGATTTAGAGGGCTCACTGGGCTCACCTGACTCATTAGGTTCAACAACAGAATCCATATGATCAGGAGCCATCAAATCAACATATATATGCATCTCTCTAGTTCTAACAACTTCATGCACAAATTTAGTAAGGTCTCTATCAATGCACAATAACAAAAATCCACTACTCTCATACATGTACAACCCCATCTCTCCAGTGACCCCTACTTGTTTGCACCAAAGAGTGATAGCCAACAATTTCAATTCTTTTGGGGTGACATAATCAACTATAAAAATCTTACCTCCTTCATATTTTGGTGTTGGGTTATGTTAAAATTTTCCATTCCAAACCAATGAGAAAGAATCAGACGTTGGGATCTGTAAATTTTTGGGAAATAAAAAGTGGTCAATAAACAAATACATTCGCATGAACACATTTGATAAAACACAAAAAAAATAAACAAATAAAACTGAAGAATCTTTTTATAAACCCCAAAAAAATAAACAAATAAAACAATGGACACAAATATGTCAAAAAAAGCAGACAACAAAATGCCAAAAATCCCGAAACAATGGAACAAAACAAGTCAATACACAAAATCGAAATAAACTCAAATGATAACTTACGATACATGAGAGGAGGCAAATTCAGGAGCAAATTTTGACGGAGGAAGCCCATCCGCGTTCAGCCTTATGCTCAATTGTGATTTTGATCAACTTAAATCGTTTAGTCGAAGTTGGGGCGATTTTTGGGGTTGGGGATTAGGGTTCTAATGTTTGGCGACAATTTTGGGGGGACGATTTTTTATTTTCCCTCGTTTTATTGGCAGGCGTGTGGGTGTACTAAACCACGTTAGAGCCACATAGGTGCGACGTGGATTTCTGGGCCAAAAAAGGAAAGAAAGTCCTACTTTTGATCGTTTTTTAAAACCTGCAGGACTATTCATATTTTTTGCATTCCGTCGGGACCAAAAATGTTACCCCCTTATACCTGTGGGACTAATTTTGAATTTTTCCCGACGACAACCTGCAAGTCTATTATATAAATTTAACCACTTTTTAACCCCTTTTTTACAAGGTATTATATAAATTTAACTCTTTCACCTATCACTATACCATTGTTTTAAGATTATTATTAATCACTAATGTGCCAAGTTGATGATACGCTCAAACCGACAACTGGAGTACTCTGGTTGTCCGAATGAAGTTGATGATGTGTAAAACAAGGGTTGGGAGGGATTCCCAGTTTAAGCACTCAGATGCTAAAGTCAGTTTCATGAATATGGTATATGGTAATTAATGATCAAATGTTATGGGGAGAAGAAGTTTATGGTCATATCTTTCTCCATTTTAGGTGATGACTACTTTGTTACCCAAGAACCTTATGTGTTGTTTCCCAAGAACCCTTGTTGCCGAAGAATTCTAGGTATCCTAGAATTCTTTTTGCCCATGATCTGTTCATATTTGACCTTTTCCACACGTGGTTCTCATTTCTTTTTTTTAGGTCTTTTCCCTCATAGGTCACTCTGTTGTGGTCCATAAATCTTCCTGAAGGTCATCAGTTGGCACGTATTCGAGTTGTCTTCGGTCCTTGGCCCGAACCTTTACGTCCATAAGCATGATCGAGATGGTCGACCTACCTGACCGAGTTGAGTAGCTCGGTCATTTCTGATCTGTCGAAATTAGTCCAGTCGAGCTAAGGATGCATTGGACCTAGACCGACTTGAACCGTTCAACCTCTGCAAATGGCTCACTCATGAGGTGATGGACCTAATCCAGACGAGATGGGGTTATATCATTTGCCGCCCTCCCCCCCAACCTACTCCAAGCAAGCTCGAGCTGTTGTTTGATTGGTGAAGGATTAGCAGATGTGACATGTTCTAGGTTGTCGGATGTAATAAATATAGATGTGAAAGGTTGCATAAGAATTTGAGATGTCATCTCGATAGGGGCATTCTTGAATCGCGCATATGATTTGGACTGTTGATTGATCCCTCATCTAAGGGCCATTAGTGAACCTGCTCGATTATAAACACCTTCTATTTTATCTCTAAAATACTTTTGCCATTTTATTTTTTTTTAACTCATGATTTTCAATTTTCTGTAATGTCACTGTGCACAATTCCTTCTACCAGATCCGCTTCTGACCACGAGTTTTTCATCGCCATGGGTAAGTGTTTACGGATAAATTTAATGCTTTGAGTTTGTCTTCTATTCCCAGTTTGTCGATTTGACTTTGAATTATTTCTATCCAAGAATTTTTTGTTTCTTTTGAGCGAATTGTTGCCTTGATTTCGTATTTAGAATTTTTGAACACCTTACACATTTTTATTTCGAGTTGTGTATTAGATATGTCTAGCTCGAACTCGAACAATTATGTCAACCAATTGATTGACAAACATGTAGGATCGCCATCGGTACAAAGAGTATGTCGTCAACTAGCTAGCTCTTACAGAACAAACTGGTCCTTCTAGAGGACTAAGGATGTGATTGGATATAAATTTAATTTGGTTTTGATTGGTTTTTTCGGTAACTATAGTTAATTTTTAAAATTATGGTATGATTAGTTGTTAGTGGAATTTTGAGTTTATATTAAAATAAAATAATTAAAGTTGATTTGATGTAAAAGTATGAGAGAGTGGATGTGAAGTGATAATTAGTTAAAATTATGTGAGTAGATGAATAGTGTATTAAAGTTGATGTGATTTGTGAAAATGATTGATTGATATTATTTAATTATATTAATAATATAGAGTATGTAAAGTTGTGTTAAAGTAGTTAAAAAAAGTTATTGAGTTAGATAAATCAAATCCATATCCAGTCGCACTCTAAGAGATGAACCTGATGGCGAGGTAGATTTGGATAAGCTCGACCAAGCTCAAGCTTCTCCGATATAGAGCTCATTCCCCAAGGTATACTTTCTCATATCGTAGCTCGTACAATGCAAGTCGTTGCCCCCATTCCTAACCTAGATCCCTCGCTTGAAACTTTAGCCTACCATGTATCTTCTATAGTTGTAGCCAAAATAACAAACATAAATCCGATCTGTTGTGCTTCTATAGAAGTGCTCGATAACTTCCGTGTACTGCGAAATGTTAGATAACAAGGAGCTGCGAACTCCTTTGATAAACCGATGTGTATACCAATCCTCTCGAGGATTTTTGTACCTTTTTTATAGACCAAATAAATAGTGGTCTCCTCTTTCCCATTCAGTATGAACTGTTAACCCTTAGTGGATTGTACAACTTGCCTATTAACCAATTCTCTCTCAACTCTATTCGTTTGATGACATCCTTCATTATCGTCTTTAAATGTGTGTTCAGGGAATTCTTGCCCAAACTATTTATCTAGTGTTACAACATAAAGCTCCAAAAGGGCACTCATTACTTGACTGCCAGAAATAACGCCAACTTCCCCAACTTGCACCCCCATCTCTAGGAGTTTTGAAAAAAAAAAAAAGGTTGTCGTCCAAAGAAAGTGCATCTTGGGCCAAGCCAGAAAAGAGGGCCGCTCATTCATGACATGAGTACCCAATTCAACCGAGCTAGGGTTATATCAATCACCAACGAAAAATTTTTAATATTTAATTACACTTTGTAATAATTAAAAATTTTAATGTAAAGGCGTGATTGGCAATTAGTTTTTATTACAAAAGTTACAAGTTAGACCAAAATTGATAAACAGATGGAAATAATAAATATCAAAATTGATTAAATTGAAACATATATCTAGGGGGAGCAACGGTGCGGTTTGGNCCTAGCAAAAAAAAAAAAATAAGAGAACCGCACAGCAACTTGGAAAAAATTGAACCGAACTTTTTTACACTAAAATAATCGAACCGAACCACACCGAAATGCACGATTCGGTCGGTTTTCAATCTTTTCTTAATTTTTTTATACATTTTATTTAATTTGGTGCGATTCGGTCCAAAACCGCACCGAACCGAACAAAACCGAGAACCGAACTTATGAAAACCTATAACCGCACCGGACCACACCGTGTGATATAAGAAAAAAATCGAACCGAAAATTTTATACATTAAAAAACCGCACCGAATTGCACGGTTCTACTTGACTAATCGATTTCGGTTCGATTTTGCTCACCCTTACATAGATCTAAAAAAAGTTGACGTACAACTATGATTTTTTCCTATTTACAAACCATTCTCCCCTATTGACTACATGGATGAAGGTCAAATACCGCGTGATGAGTCGTTTGCTGTTGCAATATGTGACAAAGACATTGCCCAAATTGCAGGCCCATAAATTAAGCAAATAAACTCATACTTCAACATCAAAGAATAATTCTAGGCTTCCAAATTCATAGCATGAATTGTTAGACTGGTCATATTTCCACTCTTACATATCAAAACATTTTTTCTTATGCCTCATCAAAACTGGGGAACAAGCAAAAGAACCCATTTTGCCAAATCAACAATACATAATCTTAGAGGAAAAAAAAAATTACTCATCAAAACTTTGCATCTAGGGCTTCCGGGTCCTAAACTAGCTGTACATGGGAAAAGGCTGCAAATAAATGTGTGTAATGTAAAAATCTGCACCGGAATCGGGCAGTTGTATCATCGGCAATCAGCTCCAACTGCTTCGTAAATAGACTTGAAACCATCTCTCTCTAAGCATTCGGCAAGTTCATTCTAAGTAAAAATCAAGAAAAGGCGCCTTGAGAAAAAAGGGTAAAACTAGTACATGTTATAACAAATTGTAAACGATCATAAGATGGAAGTTAAAAGTCACATTTTACATGCAAAATCCAAAGATTTGTTACAAACAAAAAGCATGTTATAAAATGCAATGTCAAGTAATTTATCCATCCGTTTAGAGATTAGTCCATTCATCAAATGTATCTAAAGACTGTTTTGTTTTGTTATTCGGGAAATATTAATTACTGTTTACCAGAACCAAGTTTCTAGCACAAAAACACTATTATGGATTCTAATTCCAGTAGCACTAGAGGGTTGACTACAATAGTGCTGAATGAATCGCAAATCCATCTTTTTCAGATGCTTTCAAATATCACATACATTTCAAAGTCACCATAAGATCCGAACCAAGTCATTATTTAAATATTAAGTGCCATTTCTCCTCGAATGCTTTTCTATTTTTTTCCTTTTCATGTAATTACTGCACTACATTACTAAAACCGCAATTCAGGCTCACCACAAATTCCTCTATAATGTTAACTTTTTTATGCCACTCTTCAAACTACAGGCATTCGACTAACGTTTTTTCTATTTCGAAGGAAAAAAAGAAAGAGTATCTTTCTACCTTTATCTGAGGTATTAGGGCAGGTCCTCCATAAGCAAATGCAGTATATAACTGAACAAGGATTGCCCCTGCTCGTATTTTCTTGTAAGCATCCTCTCCACTGAACAGTTCATTTTGGGGGTAAATTCACCGAAAAGCTATGTCATAGTAATGGTTAAACACACACTAAACAGAAGTTACCTGCTCACACCTCCACATCCAATCAACGGAATTCTTCCCTGTTACAATACAAAGTCAAATCGATAAAATGCACTAAAGGTGAGACACAATTTTTAATCAGATTTTATTTAGATAAAATGTTTTATCTAACTGTTGGGTGTATACAAAAATAGGATCTGAACACTTGCAGATAATTCGCCTAACAACAACACAACAGCAATATTCAAAGCCATGGAAATGAAGTACACTGGAATCAAATCACCTTTGTAAGACTATACATGTCCTTGAGTATATTTGTGGACAAGTTAAAAAGTGGTTTTCCACTCAAGCCACCAGTTTCCTGAGCCACTGGATTTTGGCTTACGGCATCTGGTCTCTGAATAGTTGTGTTTGATATGATCTGCAAACATAAAATTGAAAATTTTCCGAACAATGTCTTCTATCACACAATCATCTCCCACGTAGATAATTGGTTTCTAAAGTGGTATAGTTAAAGTGAAATCTGCTGTTCAAAATTAAGATAACATCACACATTCGTGATGACCTCAAACCACGTGTCATAGTAATCTAAGTGGATAATGAACAAAATAAGCTTTTTCATGGCGTAAAAAATATCTTGGAAATTAAGTCTGCATATATTAATATTACTCCCTCCAATAGAGAAGTGTCCTATGATATCTCACTAAGCTAGCCATGCTCATTCATGAAATTAGCTCGCTTAAGGCTTAACGTTGTGTTGAAAGATAGCTTCTTACTAAGTTTATGCAGGAAGCCAGTGAGAAATAAGATAATGGGCATGAAAGATCACATCATAAGGGTTGGGAAAAATGGTTAAGGAACTATAAAGAAAAGGAAAAGCTTACCAATCCATCTACTCGAAGAGCAAGAGCGACCTACATATGCAGAGAGCATGTCATTCAATGCATTCCAGACAGGAAGATATAATTAATAAATAAATAAATAGTAGTGGCAGTAAAAATAATATGCGAAAATATATTAAAAAGGAAAAAGAAAATTATATGTGCATACTGCCGCAATATCTTCGAGATCCTGTTTAGACAAGTCTGGAGCAATTTTCACAAGCAAAGGTGGTGGGCCTTCCTCTCCCCATTGCATTTCATCACGAGCAGCTTGAACCTACAGAAATTATAGAATCAAAATTCTATCAATCCTTCATGTGTGTCCATACCATCTAAATGTACATTGGTCGACTGTGGAAAACACACACACACACAAGACCATTACCTTTTTCACAAGGTCTTTTAATTGTTTTCTACCCTGAAGTTGCCGCAGTCCCGGAGTGTTGGGGGATGAAATATTGATAACCTACAGAATCAGAAAATTATAAACCATAAGTTCAATTTAAAGAGTCAAATTCACATCTTAACTAGTAAATTCAACTAATAAATATTTAGAAGTTAAAACTACTTACAATGCAGATCATACTCAGTGCAGCTTAAATCAACAAAACATATATAAAACAGATCGTACAATTTACATTATGCTGGAGAGTATAACCATATAATAAAACAATAAATATACCAAGTAATCGGCATACTGTGACAAAGTGTGAACTCCTTGCACATAATCAGCTGCAGCATCCTCGCTCGTCTTATTCTTTCCTAAATTAACCCCAAGAATACCAGGACCTGCTTTCCCTCCATGAATGACCTCCTCTTCAGTGAAAGATGAGCTGCTCGAAGTTTCCATTTTCCTTTTACCATGTTGGGCGCCCAGCCGCTTTGCTACAGCAACAATCCCTTCACTATTGAAGCCACATCTATTGATGATAGCACTGTAATATCAAATGTAAGGACCAGTTAGAATAAAAATCGCATTAATTGAATGCACATTATGAGGGTTTTTGGCTTAGGAAGCTTTCTGAAAGCTGTTATAAGCTTCAACATTTGATAAATTTGAAAATAAGTTGTTTGATAATGTATGACATGGAACTTTCAAAATGGTAATAATGGAAATTTTGGACTCAAATAGAATATTATAAGTTGAAGGACATAAAAAAAAAGTAGCAGTCCATTTTTTTTTTTAAAACAATTTACAAGATATCCTTGGCTGAGCTCATGGACTCTTCCAAACGTGCTCTAAGATGTTTACGAGCTTAAAAGATCTTTTAATCTGTTTAGCAAACTACAAAGATATATTAGGTGCTTCTAAGTTGTTTTTCAAGAAGGTGGTGTACCCCAATCTTTTTTTTTTTTAACAAAAGAGAGATTATTTGAACGGCTTCCATTAAAATTTAAAATTTCACCATCCTCACTGCAAAGTTCCCATTACTATCATCTTATAAGCTCCAGTATAATTCTCCGTTAAAGCTTTTAAATACATCTTACATATTTATGAGCTTATAGAATCTTATAAATAAGTTCAACCAGACATCCTAGAGTATAAATTACCCAACAGTTGAAGAGAGCTCATCAGCTCTTCAAACACGTCCTAGAGTAACAGCAACACAAACCAAGGATAATATATATATATATATATATATATATATATATATATATATATATATATATATATATATATATATATATATATATATATATATATATATATATATATATATATATATATATATATATATATATATATATATATATATATATATATATATATATATATATATATATATATATATATATATATATATATATATATATATATATATATATATATATATATATATATATATATATATATATATATATATATATATATATATATATATATATATATATATATATATATATATATATATATATATATATATATATATATATATATATATATATATATATATATATATATATATATATATATATATATATATATATATATATATATATATATATATATATATATATATATATATATATATATATATATATATATATATATATATATATATATATAATGCGCTAAATTATGCTTTTAGATAAGGAAGATCGACCGAAAAAACTTACAATCTTACCCTTCCTTCCGTAATCTAAATATACGAGGTTTTGGATTGCCCTCCTGTGGAACTGGAGTGACTGACCCAACCTCCACAAAACCAAAACCTAATCCAAGCAAGCCCTCGACAGCCTCAGCATTTTTGTCGAAACCAGCAGAAAGACCAATTGGATTGGAAAACCTCCTTCCCCAAACTTTGAGTTCCAATATTTGCGGATCGGCCCTTTTCTCAATCGGGACCCACCCACGGGCTGCAGCAGATACTGCTAGTCGGTGGGCCACTTCTGGGTCGAGAAATGCAAATAAAGGATTCACTAGTTTTGTTGCAGAGAATAGCCAGCCACTGCAATTACTCAAGATATGTCAATACTACATTGCAGATGCTGTTAAATGCCTGAAAGTGACTCATGAAGGCTTAATGGTAACGTATATGCATTAAAAAATGTTGTATTCATAATTTTAGAGTTTGAATTCAAATGAAATCAAATTGGAGGTCTACCTTAATGATTGGAAATATACCTAGATATGAATAATTAACAAAACTGAATGTTTAAGGTCAAAATCTAGTTTCGGGCCATGCATAGTTGAGTGATAGAGAATGATCTTGAGTTAAATTAGTTTCAAGCTTGTGAGTAGACACATACATATGCAACTACAATAAAAGATTTTATGGAAGTAGAATAAACCTGATATGAATTCGGGGATGAAAAATCGCACAAAATAAGGATAACATACTCAGACCAGACATCCAACTTTCAAACTAACTTGTGAAAATTGCGAACATAAAAGTAAATGGGTGCCATCTCAAGCTCATAGTAATTCAGAAACCAGCTTCAAGCTTCAATAGTATCCAATCTCTTTCTCACTCAAGCAATACAAACAAAAGTTGCATTTCACGAGAAAACTAAGAACAACAACAATGATGATGATGATGATGATGTTGATGATGAAGATGAAACAATTACAAACATGAGAATCCATTGCATACCAGAAAGTCGCTTCATCTACAGTACTTGCATATGCACCTCCACCTATGAGTAGCCCTATAGCAGCTCCAGTAAATAATCTACCCTGGAGTTCACACGTGGAATCTAAGCATTCTCAATAAAAAGATAAAGTACATAGCAGTTCACTCAGTCGTTTGTAGTTACTTTTATGCAAGATTTTATTTGACCAGACAAATATTAAAATTCAGAATAGAACAAACACAAGTTCAATAGTGCAAAGCTTTTCTTGGTGAAGAACTAAAGTGAAAAAGCAATACGGCAACCGAACACACACACACACACAAAGAACGTAAAACTAAAGCTCAAATAAGTGGTATAATAGGAGGAAAAAGACGGACTTTCATGAGAAGGAAATGCCTTGCAACCAGAAACCACGGTATCAAAGCTTAATACATCTCCTTTCTTTGGATAAAAGTAGGCTCAGAATTCACTTCCGGCATAAACCATTTTCAGATTCCCAAAATAATATCGCATGTTTACACAAGAAACAGGCAATTAAAAGTCTTCCGCACGCACGGCGTTTACAGTGTAATATATTATACAAAAACATAAAACAGAAGTAGAAGTTACCTTTTTCGGAAAATGAGGAACTTTTTTGGGAATTTTGGGTGGAGTGCTAGCAGTGCCGGCTGAAGCACTAGTGCAGAAACAATGCCTGAAGTAATCGTTGAATTTAACCTTATTCCTATGCATACAGTACTCTTTCCTGAATTTCAAAGCAACCCTCATCGCCATTTTTCAGTCCGAAAAAATAAGGGGTTGCGAAATGCAAAATTTCCAAAACAATTATAGAGAACCCGCTGAAATTAAGAAGGGTTTTACGCAAAGATTAGTTGCGAGCCGGAGAGCGAAGGAGAATCTGTGGGATTCGCACGCGCAGCATAAAGGGTTATATTGATATAATTTTTGTTGATTTTGATTGGATTGTTTGTATTGGTTTGGTTAAATTTGAAAAATGTTGTAGGGTTAGTTGTTAGTAGATTTTGAGTTTATATTAAATTAATATTTAAAATAAAACAATTAAAGTGGATTTGGTGTGAAAGTAGGAGAGAGATGATTTAAAGTGATGGTTAGTTAAAATTATGTGAGTTGATGAATAATGAATTAGGGTTGATGTGAAGTATAAAAATGATTGGTTAATATTAATTACTTATATTGATAATATTGAGAATAGTGGGGTTGATTTAAAGTTGAGCTAAAAAAAGTGATTAGTTAAAAATGATTGAATTTTTTTGAAATAACTTGTATCTCAACATCTTTGTGTTTACTGTCATCTTTTAGTCTTAATATAATATAGTGTGTACATTTTTAAGGGAGCTTTCTTTAAAAATTCTCAATCCTAATTCTAACTTCCAAGTCAGTCCCTAGGCTAATTTTTTCCTACTTCACTCTCTACCCCCCTAATCATCTTCCATTTAAATCCCCCCTATTAAAAAAAATGACAAAGAAATTTATATATGACATCATCCCACTATCTACATTATTAAATTATTTTTGTTACCTAAAACATTTCTTTCCCCACTCTTCTTCCCCATTCTTCTTTCCCGCTATTTTCTTCTTCATCGCCGGCGTGAAATTTTTTATTTTTTTTTTCGCAGCTTCATCTCGGTGGCGAATACAAACCAGACCCTGGGGCTTTTATTGGAAGCAACAAATCCGGCAGCCTTAGGGCTTTTTTCGGCCGAAAATCCCTGTTTTTCCGGCCGAAAATTGCTACTTCTCTGTCCGAAAGTTCCTATATTTTCGGCAAATTGTGGCTTTTTCCGGCGAAAACTTGAAGTAATAAGTAATGTATGTATTATATGAGAACTTTGGAGTCCAAAAATTGTCTTTAATTCATATATTTTTGTTTGATTTGTGAAGGATTGAATTTTAAATATTATTGTTTATATTTACCCTAAAACAAATAAAGTGGTCATAATTTTTTTTTTTTTTTTGTTCATGTATACAAAATTTATGCTATTGTTAGGTTATGTTAGGTGTTATTGACCATAAAACAAAAAAATAAGATAAAAATAATCATAGTACCACTATTCATGATTGTGTGTACCTCTGTTTGGATATATAGTACTACTTTGCTCACTGTTGGTACCATCTGTGCTGGAAAATGTGAACATTATTCTTTTTTAATCCAATTATTTTTAGATATATGGAAGGGGCACAAAAATTCCTATCTCTCTGTCCGAAAATTCTTATTTTTCCGACAAGATTGTGACTTTTTCCGGCGAAAACTTCAAGTAGTAAGTAATGTATGTATTATATGAGAAGTTTGGAGTCCAAAAATCATCTTTAATTCATATATTTTTGTTTGATTTGTGAAGGATTTAATTTTGAATATTGTTGTTTATATTTACCCTAAAACAAATAATGTGATCATAATCCTTTTTTTTTTGTTCATGTATACTAAATTTATGCTATTGTTAGGTTATGTTAGGTGTTATTGACCATAAAACAAAAAAATAAGATGAAAATAATCATAGTACCACTATTAATGATTGTGTATACCTCAATTTCTTCTATTAATATTTATTTGAAATATATTTATTAACTATATAATAAAATAAATATAATATTATAATTAATAATTAAAGTTAGGTAGGTTATATATATTAATTACTATTTGATCATGTGCACATGCACAGATCAAAATAAAATGAAGTTTTATTAATGGATAGTCCAATAATTATAATATTTTTTTTAATTTTATATATGGAATGTTGCACCTAAATGATTTTAATTGCATTATATATGGAATATTGTGGTTGTGATATATATTAAGGATGATTTTCTACGATTATTGTGGTTGTGGTTGTGATATATATTAAGGATGAAAAATAGTTGAATAAAACAAATATGTAGAATTTGGAGTAGTCATGTGTGATGATTCTATGAGATGAAGTGTGTCATTCAATGAAATGAAGTGTCTTCGTAGTGTTTTCTCATTAGTGTGTCGAGTTCATGACCATTCTAGGATTAAACTCAACTAAAAACATTTTAAATCTTGTATAAACCAATGTGAGAGTGATTACGGGTCATGTAAACATCATTCGAGGCCGAAATTCGGTATTTTTATGTGTTCATTACAAGTGGTACTAAAGACCCAATATCAGGTACTGCAACAATATCAAACTGGTACTATCTTACTCTATGTCTGGTACTACTTTCTGTAAATGTTGACGAAAATTGAAATAATCCATTTCCGTTCACAAAAGTAGGTATTAATCGATGAAAAACATGTATCACGTAGAAGAAGATGTGGTGCTATTTTGGCTAAAACATGTACTATTTTAAGAATCGTGACTTCTCTAATCCTTCTTGTCTATCACGACACGTGGATCGCTCACGCATGAATTGGATGAAAAATAGTGGATATTATAACATATAGGCAGAATTTTGAGTAGTCATGTATGATGATTCTATGAGATGAAGTGTGTCATTCAATGAAATGATGTGTATTAGTAGTGTTTTCTCATTAGTGTGTCGAGTTCATGACCAATTTGCGATTAAACTCAAATTAAAACATTTTAAATCTAATATAAACTATGTGACAGTGATTATGGGTCATATAAACATCATTTGAGACTGCAGTTCGATGTTATTTTATGTTCGTCGGAGTTGGTACCAAAGACCCGATATCTGGTATTAAAACACCATAAAGCAGGCACTATCTTACTCTAAATCTGGTACCAATTTTTACAAATGTTGACTAAAATTGAAGTAATCCATTTGCGTTGACCAAAAATAGGTACTGATTGATTAAAAACAGGTACTACGCAGAAGAAGAAACGGTACTATTTATGTCAAAAATGGTACCGTTTTAGTAGTTGTGATTTCTTTAATCCTCCAATGCTACCATGTCACGTGGATCGTTGACGCGTGAATTGGATAAAAATAATGGAAGTTGAAACATATAGGTAGTATTTGGAGTAGTCATGTATGATGATTCTATGAGACAAAATGTGTCATTCAATGAAATGAAGTGTATTAGTAGTGATTTCTCATTAGTGTGTAGAGTTCATAACCATTTTACGATTAAACTCAATTTAAAATATTTTAAATCTCATATAAACTAATGTGAGAGTGATTAAGGGTCATATAAACATCATTTGAGACCTAAATTCGGTGTTTTTATGTCTTCGTTACAGGTGGTACTAAAGACCCAATATCTGGTACTAAAACACCGAAAGATGGTACTATCTTACTCTAGGTCTGGTACCAACTATTGCAAATGTTGACCACAATTGAATAATCCATTTTTTTGACTAAAAGTTGGTACTAATCAATCAAAAACAGGTACCATGTAAAAGAAGATGTGGTACTATATTGGCTAAAATAGGTACTATTTTAAGAATCATGATTTCTCTAATTCTTCAAGTCTACCATAACAAGTGGATCGTTCACGCGTGATTTAGTGAAATATAGTGGAAGTTAAAACATATAGGTAGAATTTGGAGCAGTCACGTATGATGATTCTATGGGATGAAGTGTGTCATTCAATGAAATGAAGTGTACTACTAGTGATTTCTCATTAGTGTGTCTTGTTCATGACCATTTTATGATTAAACTCATAGAAAATCTCATAGAAAATAATGTGAGAGTGATTATTGGTCATATGATTAAACATTTTAAATCTCATAGAAAATAATGTGAGAGTGATTATTGGTCATATAAACATCATTTGAGACCGAAATTCGGTGTTTTTATGTGTTCATTACAAGTGGTACTAAAGACCCAATATATGGTACTAAAACAGCGAAAGATGGTACTATCTTACTCTAGGTCTGGTACCAATTATTACAAATGTTGACCACAATTGAATAATGCATTTTTGTTGACCAAAAGTTGGTACTAATCGATAAAAAACAGGTACCACGTAGAAGAAGATGCGGTACTATATTGGCTAAAACAGGTACTATTTTAAGAATAGTGATTTCTCTAATCCCTCATGTCTATCATGACACGTGGATCGTTCACGCGTGATTTGGATGAAATATAATGGAAGTTAAAACATATAGGTAGATTTTAGAGCAGTCATGTGTGATGATTCTATGAGATGAAGTATGTCATTCAATGAAATGAAGTGTATTAGTAGTGATTTCTCATTAGTGTGTCGAGTTCATGACCATTTTACGATTAAACTTAATTTAGAACATTTAAATCTCATATAAAATAATGTGAGAGTGATTATGGGTAATATAAATATCATTTAGGTCCGAAATTCAGTGTTTTTATGTGTTCGTTAAAAGGGGTACTAAAGACTCAATATCAGGTACTACATCAACATAAAAGTGGTATTATCTTACCCTACAACTAGTACTACTTTTTGTAAATGTTGACCAAAAGTGAAATAATCCATTTTCCTTCACAAAAGTAGGACTAATCGATCAAAAACAGGTACCATGTAGAAGAAGATGCGGTACTATTTTGGCTAAAACACGTACTGTTTTAGGAATCATGATTTTTTTAATCTTTTATGTCTACCTTTTCACGTGGATCGTTCACGCGTGATTTCGATGAAAAATAGTGGAAGTTAAAACATATAAGTACAATTTGGAGTAGTCATGTATGATGATTCCATGAAATGAAGTGTATTCATAGTGTTTTCTCATTAGTATGTCGAGTTCATGATCAATTTACGATTAAAGTCAATTAAAAACATTTTAAATCTCATAGAAACTAATGTAAGAGTGATCATGGGTCATTTAAACATCATTTGAGACCAAAATTCGGGGTTTTTATATGTTCGTTACAAGTGGTACTGAAGACCCAATAGCCGGTACTAAAACACCATAAAACTGGTACTAATGTGAAGAAAATAAGTACCAGTACGAATACAAATTGGTATCAGTTTAAAAACACAACTTCCTTAAATGAGTTCTAACGACTAGAAAATGAGT